GGCCTTGAAGATGGTTTAAGAGATTAATGGAGTTGAGCATAGTAGTCCATGCCTATAACCATAGCTCTCTGGAGACTGAAGCAAGAGAATTACTGTGAGTTTAAGGCCAACTTGAACTACATAATGAGTTCCAGGCTAGTCTGGGCTATAGAGTATGACCTTGACTCAAAAAAAAAAATGGGAAGGGGCACCTAGAATATGTCTCTTGATAAGATGGAAGATACAAAAACAACACAAACAAACAAACAAACAAAAAACCAAACAGAGTAGGTGAGGATAGGATTAGGATTCTGTTTTAGGTATATTGACTTTGAAGTCCCAAGATGATACCACCCCAAATAGAGTGTACGGAATTGTCTGCTATGCAATTGATTTATTATATGGAAGAATAGAGTAAGGATTGAGATAAGGATTGTCAAGATATTGGTGAAAGTAGATCTTCAAAATCGTGGGATCACTGGGCGATGGTGGCACATGCCTTTAATCTCAGCACTTGGGAGGCAGAGGCAGGAGGATATCTGTGAGTTTGAAGCCTGCTTGGTCTACAGAGTGAGTTTCAGGACAGCTAGGGCTGTTACACAGAGAAACCCTGTCTGGAAAAGAAAAACAAAACAAAAACAACCCCCTCCCCCCACAAAATCATGGATTCAGGTGCAATTGTTTAGATAGTGTTTTGATGAGAGAAAGGGGGCAAGAACTGATTTGCAGATGACACCAGTGCTCAAGGGGGGGTAGTTTGAGAAAAATGAACCCATGAATGAGAATGAAGAATGAGTAGCATAGGAAGAGATTCAGAATAATGTGCTGCTGCCAGCCATGAGCCAGTGACATAAGTCATGCTGCAGAAGGGTTCAAGAAAACAGATAAGGCAATTAGAGACACTTAACGATTTTGTTAACAGGTTTTTGTAAAACACAGATAAATTACAAAATAGATTAGCGGTTAGTGAAACTGCCTGACACACCACCATGCCAAGAAAACCATTTTTAATATTTTTGGTATATTATCCTTTCAGACTTTTTTTTATAAAGAGTCAGGATCTGGAGTAGCCCAGGCTAGTCTTGAACTTAGTTTGTAGCCAAGGATGACTTTGAACTCCTGACCTTCCACTTCTACTGAGATTACAGGTATATGCCACCACACCTAGCTCAGACTTTTTTCTTATTTACATTCTTTTGTTCCATGAGCTCAGCCTAGGTTCAATACTGATTAAACAGTTAAAGGGTCAAGAAGCTAAAACATAGTGCGAAAGACAACATAATGAAGCAGTAGGAAATCTAGTAATCACCTCCTGAGAGTGGAGGAATGGTACCTTAGTGTGGCTTGAGTGCTGCCTTTTCCTCCTTAACCACATCCATTGTACAGAAAGGTTTCCTGATTGGCACATATAGCCATATGTAATGTAGTGCCTGGCACACAGGTGCTTTGCCTTTCAGTAAATAAAAGGGAAACTATGGTAAGAGAACAGTGAGATTGGCAGGCGTTGTCTCTAGGAGGAGGAGGTAGAGCAGGTGACAGGAGTCAGACATGTTGCCAGTTGCTTCGTTGTAAGGACTTTTGTTCGAAACACCCAACCAGAGGAAAAAGAATTGAGATTGGGTCCCAGCATTGTCACTTGGCAGGGTTTCAGAGCCACAGATATTGGCTACTACATCTTTTGATTGTGTATTTCAAGCCTGATGTGTAGGTAATATTTCAGCAGATAGTTCAGACATACAATTCCAAATCATGAGGAGTTCTAGACTGTTTTTAAAGTGGCTATACTATGGGGCATATGGTGTACATCTGTAATTCTCCGGAACACAGAGACAGGGTTTTTCTGTATAACAGTCCTGGCTGTCCTAGAACTCACCTTGTAGACCAGGCTGACCTCAAACTCACAGAGATCCTCCTGCCTCTGCCTCCTGAGTGCTGGGACTAAAGGTGTGTACTAACTACCATGCCTGGCTTCATTTCTTAACTATGTGGAGAAGGATTTGGGAGTCTGAGACAGAGAGATGCTGTGAGTTCAAGACCATCCTGGACTGCAGAGTGAGACTCTGAAACCCTGTCTCAAAACCACTCCTTCTCCAATGGATATAATGTTCCAGAGATTTGTCCATTTCAGCTATGCTTAGTTTGGTAACATCCTTTGCTTGTGTATCAGTACTCATCAGTAGGGAATGGCCTACAGTCGTTCAAAGAAATAACTTTCCACAGACACTGAAGGTGTACCTTAAGAGTAAAAGACAAATAAATCAGCATGGTTTTTGTTTAGCAGGAGGGTATGTGAGACAAAGAGACAAGAAAAATGGAAGCCCTGGCAGGAGTTGTTGATCTGGTATGGGAAAGTATAAGATGCAAAAAGAGTGATGAAGTTAAGATATGATAGAGCAAGTCAAGAAAGAGGAAGAATACCACTACTGTGGTGGTAGAGGCTTATGATCCTGTACTTGGGAGGCAAGAGGCCTGAGTCTTTGACTGGCTTGGGCTGTATGGTTTCTTTCTTTAAAAGGAGCAATGTTAATTAGGAAGTTGATAGTTTGGATTTCAGATGTGTACTAGTTCTGGATGAGGGTACATCTTAAGGATTTGCAGTGGAATAAGGGAGAGTATATAGGAAGGAGTTGAGGGTTACTGGGAGCTATGACTCAGTTTTTGTGTGGGTTGTCTTTTGTGAATGCTGAATGGGTACATGTAATTCAGTGAGGTGTCAGTTAGGTGGGAGAGTGATTGATCAAGAGGTATGTAACAAGAGACAACAGAGGATGGATTTTTATCTTCTCAAAAGTCCTAAATTTTATTTAGGAAAAGGATGATAGAAAGTTAAGGATTAGAAATGTCTGTATGCCTTGGAAGAGTATTTTTTTTTTTATAAGATGGGTGAAAGGTGGGAATTTGAGGGAAGAAGTTTAAGTGAGGATGGCGAAGGAACTTTGAACCAACATGTACATTTAAGGGAATTTGTGTATAATGAAGCAAGGGTCCACAGGGCACAGTGGAAGGAGTTGTGAGGGCATTCAGGAATGGAGAAATCATTGAGAGGAAGCTAGGAGCTATGTGAGCATGCAAAGAAAAGAATAAGATAGAAGATGTCCTGAGGTGGATGTTAATGAGAAGAAGAAAATTACTTCAATTCATAAGCAGAATAGACTAAATTACTTTATTTTTTGCTTTATTTGCACCTAGTTTACTTTTCTTATTAATATTTTTGTAATGCTTAGAATTGAACCCAGGGCCTGCATACTAAATATTCACTCTACCTCTAAGCTATGTCCCTAGCCATAGATCTAGTTTGGTGGTTTTTCCTTGTTGTGTTTTGAGACAAGGTCTCATTTTGTAGCTCTGGCTAGCTTGGAACTTGATATGTAGGCATGGCTGGCCTTGAACTCAGATCCACCTGCAACTACCTTTTTGAGTGTTGGGATTAAAGACATGCCTCCATGCCCTGCCTCCTATATCTAATTCTAATTGTACTGTGTTAATTTCTCTTCTCTTTTCTTGCCTCCCCTCCCCTCCCCTCCCCTCCCCTCCCCCTCCCCTCCCCTCCCCTCCCCTCCCCTTCTCTTCTTGAGACAGGATTTCCTCTGAGTAGCAACCCTAGCTGTCCGGGAACTCACTTTGTAGACCAGGTTGGCCTCGAACTCATAGAGAAACTCCTGCCTCTGCTTCCCAAGTGCTGGGATTAAAGACATGCACCACCATGCCTGGCTTCATTTCTTAACTATGTGGAAATGTGTTTACTTTCCTTTAAAAATTATATATTTTCAATATAAAAGCATTCATCTGTTTTAAAAAATGAGGTTAGGGGTTGGGGATTTAGCTCAGTGGTAAAGCGCGAGGCCCTGGGTTCGATCCTCAGCTCTGGAAAAAAAAAATGAGGTTAATGAGGTAAGTATAAAAGAAAAGAAATGTCTCTTAAAACTTACTACCCAGGCTCATCATTTTACTATCTGTTCTCCCAGACTTTTTCTCATCTGAACAAATACATATGTATTTTATTTATGAAGATAGACTCAGTATATCGTGGTAACATCTAATAAACATCCTTTGTCAGAATAGGCAGATTGCTACCACCACTCCTATCTGTTACAGTAATCTACCGTTAGACTGAACCATATTTATATCTGTTGTCAGACTTGTTTTTTATTTTAGAGAGTTTCTAGTTAGGTAGCCCTGGCTGGCCGGAACTTACGCAATCTTCCTGCTTCTGCTTCCCGAATGGTTGGATTATAGGTATGTGCCACATGCCCCACAAGTGTCAAGCTTTTGAGTATTTTTTGTGGAAAAGGAAGGGCTGTCTTTGTAGCCCAAGACTGAGTCTGGAGCTTGCTGTGTAACTCAGGCTGACTTTGAATTCTCCGAAAGCTTTGTTTATCCCCTCCCTCTGTTCTTCCACCCTGCTCCCTTCTTCCTTTTCTCCCTCCTTCATCATGCCCAGGCTGGCCTGGAACTCTGGATTCCAGTGATGTTTCTCTTTCAGCCTCTTGAGGAGCTGGAACTGCAGATACATGCTACTGTGCCAGATACTTTATAATAGTTTATTATAAATAATACTAGGAAGAATTTTATCTCTACAACTTGGCATGTTTATCCAATTACTTTCTTTGGGTGAATTTCTAGGAATTTTCAAGTTTGGGGGGGTTTTTGGGTATAATTTATTTTCTGTGTTTTTTTTGACTAGGTATTTGTTTATGAAATCTTCTGTATTCCTAATTTTGGAACATGTATATATTTGATGGATTGTGTAAAGTAAGTCAGATGGGTATGTATTATTTGTAAGTTAACAGGTTACCATTGTTTGATAGGTACACCTTTAGTAGATTCTCTTCCCCAGGTAGGAAGCCAAAAGCATTAGCTTGGAAACTTTCATAGAAGGTTGCCTTCTCTCTAAGGGTTTGTACACTTTTAAGACTTTGCCAGTAGACCTAAGATGTGATAGAAACTGTTATAGCTCTTAATAATACCTTCTGAATGCATGGTCATGATTAATACCATTTTCTTTAATTACTTTTTTACAGGTGATTCATGGCAGGGGACGTGGAAGGTTTCTGTTCCTCCATCCATGACACCAGTGTCTCTGCTGGGTTCAGAGCACTGTATGAGGAGGGATTGCTTCTCGATGTCACTCTGGTTATTGAAGACCATCAGTTCCAGGCCCATAAAGCACTCTTGGCCACCCAGAGTGATTACTTCAGAATTATGTTCACAGCAGACATGAGGGAACGAGATCAGGACAAAATTCACCTGAAAGGTCTAACAGCTACCGGTTTCAGCCACGTTCTTCAGTTTATGTATTATGGAACTATAGAACTGAGTATGAATACTGTTCATGAAATCCTTCAGGCGGCTATGTATGTTCAGCTTATAGAAGTGGTGAAGTTCTGCTGTTCTTTTCTTTTAGCCAAAATCTGCTTAGAAAATTGTGCAGAAATTATGAGACTCTTAGATGATTTTGGTGTTAACATCGAGGGAGTCAGGGAGAAGCTGGACGCCTTTCTGCTAGACAACTTTGTGCCACTCATGTCCAGGCCTGACTTCCTGTCCTATTTGAGCTTTGAGAAGCTCATGTCTTATCTGGATAATGATCATCTGAGCAGGTTTCCAGAAATAGAGCTGTACGAGGCTGTGCAGTCTTGGCTGCGACATGATAGACGACGATGGAGACATACAGATACCATCATTCAGAACATCAGGTTTTGTTTGATGACTCCATCCAGCGTTTTTGAGAAGGTTGGTGCATTTGAAAGCAGTAGACAGGATTCCTCATTTAGTTAAAGATGTTGTCATAGATAAGATTCCCAGAGTTGGTCAGGAGTCAAAAAAGGAGTTTATAAGAATATTTTATATATAAGAAGCCGACTTTGTTATATATTATGCATTTAGATATTTTTAAAATACATTTTGTGAGTGAAGGGTAAACCAGGTAGGTAGTAGAATAGTTCCACTTTTAAAGTACTTTTAAGGTTGGATTATAATGTGATGCAAATATTACATATTTGCCATATTTGCTTTAGCTTTTTTTTTCTTTTTCTTTCTTTCTTCTTCTTTTTTTTTTTTTTTTTTTTTTTTTGGTTAGTTTTTCGAGACAGGGTTTCTCTGTGTAGCTTTGGAGCCTGTCCTGGATCTCGCTCTGTAGACCAGGCTGGCCTCGAACTCACAGAGATCTGCCTGCCTCTGCCTCTTGAGTGCTAGGATTAAAGGCATGTGCCACCACTACCCAGCCGCTTTAGCTTTTCTTAATGTGAACTGGGTTAGATTATTTTTAAAAGTTAATTTAAGTAATCCATGCTAGAATTAGCATTGAGGATTTTTACAATTCTATATGGTACATATACATTAAATGCATTTTCTTATTTAAAATGCAGTAAGGGCACATACAATAGCTCTTGATGACCAGTAGGCCACAGAGTGATTGTCTTCCATACTGTTGTTTATTTCTGTTCCCCATTTCACTGTGAATACTAACTAAATTTATCCATGAAAACAAGGTATATGTCTAAAAACATTTTGACATTTCCAAACTAGTAAACCATAAATCCTCTGTGTACATTCATCAAGCATCCCTGTGTACATTTTACCATGTAAATAGTTCTATTTTAAAATACTTTCTCTAAAACAGCTTTTGCCTTTTTGCAAGCATCTTCATTTTTATATCAGAGTCTCACTTGTGATCCATTCTTGCCCAAAGGAGAGAGAGCAGCTTCAGTAATTGCTTAACTTAATTGGTTTCTAATCACATGGTTACCTCTGGGGCTCTGTTTACCTCTTGCATCTTCTTTCTTTCTAGAAAGCACACAAAACTTGATCGACAGACAGCCTTCATGTTGAAACAGTCAGCTTTAGCTAACAGATCGTGTAAAAGAAGTATAATCTCTGAAAAGGAGGTTTGTTTATGCCATTTGAAAAATAAACAAATTTGTGCCTTTGAATAACACTCAGCAGCCTGGCATGTTTTTCTTTTTTCTCCCCCTTCTGAACTGCTATGAAATGTCATTATCTTTAAAAGGGAATTTTATGGAATTTTATCTTTATTCTCAGAATGTATTAATATGACAGAAATAATTGAAACTAAAGAATATACTTGTTTTTGTTCAGTAAGAACCAGCCCCACATCAACTATGTAAACCATTTGCTGCTTATGTTTTGATTTTTTTTCTATCTTTACTATTGTTTTTATTGCTCTCTTTCCCTTGGGATTCATGTTTTGTCTTTATACATTAAATGAGGATGCTTTCTCATTGCTAAAACAGAGCCCTCTTCCCCCCAGTTTCAACCAAGATTGAAGTAGAAAGTATTTGTGAAATAGAAAATAAAATTTCATCTCTTGTGGGACAGTATAATGGTTAACTGATAGCAGTTAATGATTGGTAAATGCTGAGCTGCTATGCTAGTCTACATTTCAATTATCATTTTTCAAGGTAGGCAATTGTTATAGTGGCTAAGAGGTAATGCTGTTGGATAGTTGTTGAACAGTTGAACTTGCTGATTTCCTTTTGCACCTATGACATAACAGTGGTTATCACCATTGACTAAGTGTGTGGTTTTATCAGGATACAAATGTTATTAAGGCTTCTTTCTGCAGTTACTTTCTTAGGAAAACTTATGACCCAGTTGAGGAGAAACATTTTTGTAATGTAAAATCTTGCACTTCTACTTGAGTAATACTAGTAAACTTGCCTTAATAGTGTGTGAGATTGAAATTTATCAAGGCAATCTGTGGCTTTTAAAATGTTGAGATGCACTTGAATTATGCATATTAGAGGCCTTATCTCTAGAAATGCAACTTCAGAAACCAAAATAATGTGGGGAATTTGGTTGGCAAATACATATTTAGATGTGGCTTGGCATGGTGGCATATACCTTTGATCCCAGCACTTAGGCAGAGACCAGATGGAGAGAGACTCTGTCTCAAAACAAAGAATTTAGACATATGTTTTATATTTCAAGCTCCTTGAAAATAGTATCAATATATCTTTCTTGTATTCAGAACATTGCAAGTCCCAAACAAGGCCATTTTTTAAAAACATTATGCCTGGTCTCTGGTCCTAGAGTGGGCATAAAAGTGTAAAGCTAAATCCATGCTGGTCCTTTTTTAGTAAGAGAGTCTCCAGGGGCAAGGGAGTATAACTATTTTTGATTTGTGGTTTTTATCCCATTTGCTGAAATTTATAAAAATTTATTTTTTTCTTCAAATAAGGCTTTTATTCTATCCCAGGCTGGACTTAAACATGTTATAGAGCCCAGGCTGGCCTCACACTCAGGATAATCTTCCTGCCACAGCCTTCTTAAGTGCAGGGATCATATGCACATGCCACATCTGGCAGGGAATGTTAATATGGCCTTATTTTAGCTTTTATGTGTTTTAAATTTTCAGTTGTAAATTTACTTAAACATACAAAAAAAGCTGAAAAAATAATGATCACTTCAAAACAAACATATCATGAAGATAATAATTGTTAACATATTTGCTAGATAGGTAGAGATTGTATAGTTGTTGGGGTTTTTTTTTTTTGGTTTTTTTTTTTTTTTTTTTTTTTTGGTGTTTCGAGACAGGGTTTCTCTGTGTAGCTTTGCGCCTTTTGCTGGAACTCACTTGGTAGCCCAGGCTGGCCTCGAACTCACAGAGATCCGCCTGGCTCTGCCTCCCGAGTGCTGGGGTTAAAGGCGTGCGCCACCACCGCCCGGCGAGATTGTATAGTTTTTAGTATGTGGGTTTTTTTTTTTCCCTCCCTGAACTGATTCAAAGAATGTTGTAGAGCCAGACAGTGGTAGCGCATGCCTTTAATCACAACACGTGGGACGCAGAGGCAAACAGGTCTCTTGAGTTCGAGGCCAGCCTACCAGGGCTACACAGGGAAACCCTGTTTCAAAAAAATAAAAGAATGTTGTAGATGTTGTGACCATTCATCCATAACTGCTTCATCTATCATTTCCCAAGATTAAGAATATCATCCTACACAACCAAAATACTATTGTTGTACCCAAGAGAATTAACAATATTTCTTTAGCATCATGTAATATCTAGGCCATTTTCAAAGGTGTCTTTTTTGGTTGCTTTTCATGAACTAAAATTTAATCAAGGTTTGCACAGTACATTTGGTTGTCTTTGTTTTAATTTTGAATTGCCTCCCCCTTTCCTCATTTGTTATAAGGATGTTCAAACACATGAAAAGTTGAATGAATAGTGTAATGAACACTTGTATAGTATATAACAGTTGCCTAGATTCAAGAACTGTTACATTTGCCACATTTGTTTTCTAGCCTTTGAAAATAAGTTGTAAACATCACAATACCTCACTCTTAAATACTTAACTGTATTTCTCCTGTGAATAAGGATTTTTCTTACTAAAATACAATACTATTTTTACCTTAGGAGTAGTAACACTAGAACCCACCATCAAATTGCTAATTTGGCAGTTGCTTCCAAATCCACTAGATCCAGTGTTTCTGCATTGCTTTTTGGCCATCGTGCATATCTAAGCTTTCTTAATCTGCAGCAGCCTCCACATTTCTTTTTTATTTTTTTTTTGAGAAAAACTAGACTGCCCATTCATTGTCTCAATGTGTTTCACATTCTAGATGTATTCTAGATGTATCTGATTATTTCCTTGTGTTGTTAATTTAGTTTCTTTATACTCATTGTTTCCTATTAACACATCTACATTTTAGCATCATGTTTTTTCATGAACAATTACAGGAAAATATTGTAATGTCAGAGGAAAAACTTGGAAAACCATTTAGCTACTTAGATTAGACTTAGAAATCACCATTCTTTTTGTATTATGACTCCAAGCAGCTCATTTCTGTGAGTAAAACCAAAACTTTTATCCACTCTGTTCTGTGTTAAGTTTCTTTTAGAGTAATAAAATTTTCCTCCTTTAAAGAAAAAGTAGAATACTTCAGTTTATTGGGAGTTAAAAACTATATGAAGGGTTAAAATTAAAAGATTTCTTCTTAATAAAAAAACGAGCCTGAGACTTCAGTCTGTAGTACAAGCTTAGCATGCACTATATTCAATCTCCAGCACTACCCAAATCGGTGAGCTCCATTGTTCAAAGATTAAGACAACAAAAAGTGGGGCTGGAGAAATGGCCCAGCAGTTAGGAGTACTGGGTGCTCTTCTGGAGGACCTGGGTTCAATTCCCAGCACCACATGGTGCTCACAACTGTCTGTAACTCCAGTTCCAGGGGATCCATGATACCAGGCATACACATGGTACACATATATATTCATTCAGGCAAAATACCCATACACATAAACAAACAAACAAACAAACAAATAAATAAATAAATCTTTTTTTTTTTTTTTTTTTTTTTTTTTTTTTGGTTTTTCGAGACAGGGTTTCTCTGTGTAGCTTTGCGCCTTTCCTGGAACTCACTTGGTAGCCCAGGCTGGCCTCGAATTCACAGAGATCCGCCGGCCTCTGCCTCCCGAGTGCTGGGATTAAAGGCGTGTGCCACCACCGCCCGGCTAAATAAATCTTTTTTAAAGGCAACAGAAAGGATGTTTATTATATCAAATTTACTTTGGAACTAAGAATTAAACCTAGGACCTTAGTGGATGCTAGCTAGATGCTCTACTACTGAACTACATCCCCAGACTTAAATAGTTTTGAGATTGATTACATGTTGAAATTGCACTTTGGATATATTGAGTTAAATATGACAAAAGAAAATTTCACCTTTTGTGCTTTTTCAAATGTGGATAGTAAGGCATGTAAAATTGCATC